CATTTTCTTCTTTTTTTAAAATTAATAATAAAAAGTTTTCTAATTATAAATATAGAGAGTGTATTATAAGCAAAAAAACAATGTTGTAAAAAAACAATATAAAACATATATGCTAATTGTTATGATCAAGAATTGTTGATGAGAACAGTATGTCTTAAATAGAATAAGAGAATCTAACAATTAGAGAAATTATATTCATGTTTAACACTTGATGTACTTAAAATTGAGATATTTTTTAATACTAATGAATAATTTGAATAGCGTGTTTGCATCAATGAAAACAAGAAAATTAATGAGATTTTATTATATTTTTTAATTCATGCAAAAAAATGAGAACACTTCATGCGTTTTCTTTCCATTTGTTAATTTACATTTTCTTTTTACATAAGTATTTGAAAATTTTCTTCTTCTTTATTTAATACTAAATATAGTTAATTACTAACTACAGATATACGTCATTATTTCTGTTTCCGTGCATTAATTTCCTGTAAAACTTGACATTTGTCATCTCAGAGAATTAAGCACTTCTGTCCATACAACACTACATATTACTATAATTTGAATAATTATTTGTGTAGATGAACATTATGGTATCTAGAGACCTTAGATGCTTCAATCAATAAGTATTATAATTTACATTGTATTAAAAATATATCTATGATATAAGGGAACATTTCTATGTATTTACACTTCCATATAAATCAAATATTCACAAATCTCATATTTTTTTTGTTTTTACATGATGAACTTATTATGTTTTTTTTTTTAAAGCAGAACATCTGGAGATCAATCGTGAGAAAATGCAGATATCATAGAAATATAGTTTGTTTTTATCAATAAACAAATATTACAAGTCAATCATAGATTGATAAAGAACATTTATCATAATTATTTGTTTCTTCGATACATAACAAGTACCAGAAAGTGAAACTGGTTTATTGTTGTTGTCGGAATGACTACTAATAAGACATTCAAAAAGAAGAAGTAATTCTAGTACATTAGTCAAATATTTTATTATTCATCAACAACCTGGGGTAATGAGAGACAAAAGTATCATAATTGATTTAACTTTAATGAAGTTTCTTTGCGTTCTTTTCTTTTTTTTTTCTACTAGAAGATGATCTCATCTTTCTCAGACCTTGGTACTGTTTTATATATGTTACTTTACTTTCTCGTCTTCTTCTTTTTTTTTAGCTTCCATAAGAGATGACTTTTTCTTGATAAATTATAGAGGAATGAACGAGATGAATTTACTGAGAGTTTTAACATTCTTCCTCTTTCTACTGATCTATAGAAGTAAAATACCGTTTTTTATTCTATTGAAAATATATAAGATAGTTTCTTCGCTTTTTTTTTTCTATGTAATTTCATTGAACAATGACAGAAGAATTGTTAGAAAACTTGTGAATTATTTACTAATATATAACGGTAGGTAAGAAATATTTCTTTTTCAATTTCGACAAGCGCATACTTGAATATATATAATTTATCTTTTGATTTTCCTTTTTTGAATATCATTGATGATATTTTCTTTTTATCAATATATTAATTTTTTTTTATTCTTAAATTGCAATTCTATTTTTAAATACTAACAAAGATTTTCTTTTTTCAATATCTAGATTGAAGTTTTACGTATTAAATAAAATTGTTATCAAAGATTCTATTATCAATGTTTAAATATAGATCGTCGAATGAATTTTATTTTCTAGAGATAAAAAAAAGATACGTGACATAATCCGAATTTAAGCTTTTTACTCTTCAATTAACCAAAATTCATTTCTGTAAGTGGATTTATAAGCATCAGAAAAGCATGATTGTTCTTCGTACTTTACTTGTAGAAAAGAAGAAAAAAAAATGTTCTTTCTGCCTATAAAGCAGCAGCAGCAGTTTATCTATGTTATGATATTAGATAATTTAATATTTATATATGATAGGAAATTAACTTTGATTGTCATTAGTACCGTCTGAATTAAACTTTAGACAGAGAACAATTCTAATTCTTGTTGAAATCTTAATTGAAAAGTTTTAAAATAAAAATTATTACGAGTACTAGTATTCTCCAATGCATATTTATCGTGATTGTGTGCATTTACTGATAGAAATCTTTTTTTCCATTATTTGAAATTCAACTAGATTTATCTTCTAATCAAGCCTTAATGAATGTTTCGCATTCATGTATCTCTTTGTAAAAAAAACTTGTTATGAATAGGTCAAGAATATCTTGCGCTATGTAGTGCTGCCATATGGTAGGTCAATAGACCGATAATTAATATTAGCTATAATTCTGCATAAAAAGGTTAGCCTGATACAGAATTCTTGCATGCTCCATTCCGAGAGCAAGCCTTTAACGCAATGTAGTCAACGCTCTATCGGACTGATGATTCGAAATAAACAGTTATTAGTGAGACTTGTCTGATGATACCGAGATTTGAACATAGGATCTTGTAGATACGTGTCAAATAATATAGTCATTTGACCTAGTAGTACCTCTCATCTACGATTTGATTGGTGTTTATATTTTCATCTATAAAAGCGAATGACTAAGGCCCCATTCACACCGAAAAAGATAAAGCGAATTAAGTGTGAATTAACCACTAATTCATCTTAAAAAGATGACTTAAATGATAATACACCAATCACATTACTTAATTTGTTTTATTTTTTTTCAGTGTGAATGGGGCCTAACTATTGTAACTTATTTTGATATTAATATAAAATATTTATTTCTTGTTAAATATCATTGAAAAAAATTGAATATATTCATTTATGAATTTTTCAAGCGTCCTCTGGTGTTATAGAAAACTGCTCTATTTTATATCTATTGGTTATAAGATTTTAACCAATAAAAAACAGTCCTTGTTGACCTTGTAAATAGAACCAGTAAAAGATTTTATAAGACAAAAAACAAAAAAGAAGAAGAAAGAATCAACGTGTGCAATAATGTTGACAAGCTTATCAATTGATCATACATTATTAAAGCCTGATGCAACATTAAAACAAATCGATCAATTATGTGCGGAAGCTATTGAGAATAAATTTGCTACAGTGTGTATTCAACCATGTCATGTGAAATATGTTGCCGATAACTATGCAGTACGTATTTGTACTGTTATTGGTTTTCCACTTGGTACAACAACAACTCAAACAAAATTATTTGAATGTCAACAAGCATTAAATGATGGTGCACAAGATATTGATATGGTTATTAATATTGGTAAAGTTAAAGATGGTAATTTTGAATATGTTAAAAATGAAATTGAACAATTAGCGACATTAGTACATTCATCGGGTAAAAATAAAATTCTTAAAGTTATTATTGAAGCATGTTTATTAAATGATAATGAAAAACAAAAATTATGCCAAATTGTTGGTGATGCTGGTGCTGATTTTATAAAAACTTCAACAGGTTTTTCAACAGGTGGTGCAACATTAGATGATATTAAATTATTACGTCAATATTCACCAAAAAATGTACAAGTTAAGGCATCTGGTGGTATACGTGATAGTAATTTTGCAAGAGAATTAATACAAGCTGGTGCTACACGTCTTGGAACGTCATCTGGCGTTGCCTTGATGAAAGATATGCCATCTACATCTAATTATTAAAGTTTCAAAAAAAAAAATGAGAATGTTTTTTTTTCATTCCAAAAATTTTGCAATCGAATGGGCTTAGCTTTTTCCTTAGATTTTGATTTTGATTTTTCTTTTCTTTTTAGATTATATTTGTCTTCCCAATAAGTTAATGAAATAAATCATGTCCGAATCAAGTTGTATATAAACATCAAACAATAAAAAAAAATAAAACTACTATGTATTTTGTTTTCTAGACTTTAGTTACGGTGATAATGGAACATTTTCTCCCCCTATGGATGTAACAAATCAAATTCAAAATGGAACTATACAACATACGAGTGGAAATTCAAATTATTCAAGTGGTTCCGGTGGTGATTCACCAACATCATTAAGCCCGGGTAAGAAAAAACCAAACGAACATGCTTAAATATATTGTTGTGTAATTAATTTTTAAGTTCCCATGTCATCTGGTGGACAATTTATGGGTATTGGCGGAAATTCAAATTCATCAACAAGTTCAACACCAACAGCAACAACAAGTGGTGGAATGGGTTCAGCAGCAGCAGCAGCTGCTGCAGCTGCTGCTGCTGCATCTCGATATGCTTGTGTTATATGTGGTGATAAAGCATCGGGTAAACATTATGGTGTTCATAGGTTAGTATAATTCAATATTTTGTTTAATTAAATATATTTCTTTCTTTTTTTTTTAGTTGTGAAGGTTGTAAAGGATTTTTTAAACGTACTGTACGAAAAGATTTAACATATACATGTCGAGATAATCGAGAATGTATTATTGATAAACGACAACGTAATCGTTGTCAATATTGTCGTTATCAAAAATGTATTAATGTTGGCATGAAAAAGGAAGGTAATTATTGTAATTATGTTTTTTTTTTCTTTAAATTTATTTACTTTTAATATTTATATAGCTGTTCAAGAAGAACGACAAAAATCCGGTATGAATGGTGAAGGTGAATCACCATCATCACCTAGTGCAAGTATAGGAAGTGGTAGTACAAGTACACATATGGGTATTGGTTCATCCGGTTCCAATAGTGATGATGAAATGTTAATTGAAAAATTAATTGCAGCTGAATTATCTGTTGAACCAAAAATTGATGCATTTCATGAAGAAGAATGTTCATATGATCGTTTATTATCAACAACTAATTCTCAACTTGCACAATTAACTGATTGGGCTAAACGTGTACCACATTTTTCAACATTATCACTTGATGATCAAGTTGCACTTGTACGCGCATCATGGAGAGATATATTATGTTGTTCACTTGCATATAGATCAATTATGGCACCAGATTGTGGTCTTATTTTATCTGTTAGTATTTCTTTTTCCTTTTTTTCTTTTTATTTTAAAGAAACTTTTTCAGTCTGTATATATATATATTTATGAGTTGGTTTAAAGAAGAAATTTTGTACTATTAGAAGAAAAATATTGAGTATAAATAGATAATATAATTTGTTTTGAATATATAAATTAACTGTTAAAGTAAATATCTAATAGAGCTTAATTGTATTTATCTATGATGTCGAATACAACAAAAAAAAAAGAAAAGATGTTTTATGTACTATTTTGTTAATATAGGATGGTTCTTATGTTCGACCTCATACAGCCGTTGATCAATCTCTTCAATTTTTTATTACACGCCTCTATCACGATGTCGTTACAATAATGCGTGAATTAAATGTTGATAAGGTCGAAATAACATGTCTCAAGGCTATTTTTCTTTTTGATCCTGGTATGTATTCAAAAAAAAATGGAATAAACATTTGACTTTGTTTTTTTTTTCTTAGATGCTAAAGATGTTGTTGATACATGTCGTGTATCAGAATTGCGAGAAAAAGTGTGTATGTCATTAGCGTCTTATTGTAAAAAAGTGCATAGTGATGATGTAGCACGCTTTGCTAAATTACTTCTTCGTATGCCACCTATACGTGGTTGGTGTATAAAAGGTATTGAAAATTTATTTTTTGCTGGTGCAGCACGTTCAGCTGATTCTGAAATAATTCATATGATTCGAAATCGTCAACTTTAAATCAATAGACTTTTGAAGACTATATCCACGAAATGTTTGTTTGTTTGTGTTTCTCAATGTTTTCTAATCACAGTTGTGAAATATAGTCACCTATTGTCATTGTCTTTAGAGCTCAAAATAAATAAAAGAGAAGACAATTCAATATCTTTCTTTTATTTATTATTATCTTTTTTGTCATTGCTACATATACATATATACATATATCATATTGTATTGTCATAAGTATTCGTTATCCTCTTGTTTCTTTTTTTTTTGTCTATTTGTGTCTCTGTGATACCCTATGATTGTTAAATTGAAACATTGAAACCAAGAAAAAAAATTTTTTTTTTCCTGTTATTGTCAGCATTACTTTTTGTTTCTTTTCTTTCTTGCCGGTTCTTGCTCTATGGTTCTTATTGGTCTATTTCTACTTTTGTTTTTGTTTTTGGATGGTTCCGTGTTGTACATCGTGTTCATTAAACCCATTTATACTTTCTCTTTTTTCTTTTGAAAAAAAAAAAATATATGTTTGCACGTGTGTGTGTTTATATATATATGCGCTTATCAAAAGCGATATTTATATGGTATCAGTATCATATATTGAAAGACGAGTATAAACATCAGCAGGATCTTGCTTAGCATATTTACTATACTGATAGGCATACAAACGATAATTATTAAAGAAAAAATTCAATAGAAAATTTTGAAATTTTCAGAGCAAATAGATCTTGACGAGTAGAGCAAACGTTGCCGTAGACTCAAAGTTTCTGGATATTGCCTTCTATGAGAGACTGGGATTGTCATGATCCACTCACTTTTCCAAGATGCTATGTTCGATTAAGTTGAAAACTTTTTTACGCGTACTAGACACTGTTTTTGAGATGAATATCTTTTTATTTTTTTGTTTTTCAAATAAAAAAGCTAAAATATCAAGGACATCCTACAAAACGCACGTTTTTTTCTAATACAAAAATCAATAGGATAATATGTTTTGAAACAAAAAAAACAGTGTATTGTAGAAAAAGTTTCAGCTCAATCATATATAGCTGAGAATTTTTGGATTTATAGACATACTGTTAAAAAATTTTTATGACTTAATAAAATCATTTTCTTGATCAGTTACCCCATTCTAAGAAAACGACGAAATGTAATGAACATCAATGCATTAATACACCATTTAAGTTGTTGTTTCTGTTGGTCAGAATTATCGCCCTCGATAGTAACTATTGGGTTACCGGAACTTCGTCAATAAGACTTTCGCCAATAGGGCATTCATCAGTGGCGAAAGTCCACTGTAGTTTCTCCAATTGGCGAAATTCCAGAGGGTATATTGGCGAAAGTACGAGTGGGCTTTCACCAACTGTCATGAGAGAATATTAATATAGGATAAATGTCAGGGCTAAGGTTAATGTTGTTATAATACATGTTTGATAGTTTACACTCATCAATGTAGTCGATAGGAAGTTTTTAATCCATATCTAATTCACAATCAAATTGGTGAAATCCAAAGGGGTATGTTGGCGAAATACCAGGGAGTATACTGGGGAAAGTTCAGTGGACTTTCGCCAATGGTGAAAGTCCTATTGGCGATGTTCCGGAATCCCTAACTACTATATCGAGATATAAAAGTTATTCAGTGCATATTTGGATTTTAAAAGTGACACAAAGTTTAGTTTAATCGAACAATAGTATTTCGTTGTTCGTGATACCTTGATGAAAACATATAAACACAATTCTTATCATCATAAAGCATTTGAAATGCAAAAACATTTTTCTCATTTGATGATACAGATAAATCGATAGTAACAATAGAGTATCTAATGAATCATAGAAAAATCTTTTGTTAATTTTATATAAGAGTAAAACTTTACATAGGATTTTAATATTTTGATAAAGACAAGGTAAGACCTAGGAAATATCATTTCTTGTCTGTAGTATTTACTTAATAAAACATGAATAATGCGTAAATTTCTTTGTGGTAATAAAAAGTTTGTTGTTCTATCTGAAGAAAAAAAACCATATTAGATTAATTTTTAGTGTGGTAAGTCAAAGCTAAGCAGAAAATAACAAAATAAGCATGCTTTTTCTCATACTATCGATCATTATATTTTACTATGTTCTGTTGAACATATAATTCATCATACCTTATTGAACAATCTCGACTTTGACTACTCATATGACATATAAATAATTGATTATTAAAAAAGTAAATAGTTTGATTCATACAGTTTATATTTTAAATAGATCAAAACAAAAATTAATTTTTTTTTAGTTTTTCTTTTGAAAAATGAAATTTATTATATTCACAATTATTTCCTTGTCAAAAACACTAAGTTTTATCCATTAGATAATACTTGATATTGATCACTATCTTTACATTTTATTCGGCGAATTGTATCATACTCCATAGATGACAAGGAAATATTATAATCTATGAAAAAAATCAAAAAAAGTCTTGCTCATTCGAATATTTGTTGTTTTTTTTTTCTAAATATAATTATATCTAATCTTTGGTGAAGTACTGCATTCGACATTGTATTTTTCAAGTTATAAATAAACTGAATTTCTTTTGAAAGCATTTTAAATTATCAATTAATAATTGTAATAATAACTGAATATAAAGATAATCACGAGAAATAAAATGAATTATTATACTTCCATCAATAGATATAAGTGTTAGTCAATTAATATTAGTATTATAGATGTCAAGTAGTTGAGACAATACAACAACTTGGAGTAATGTCACATTAATAAGTAAACATATGATATTACCAATTTGAATTAGATGTAGTTTTGTTGAATGAAATAACATGCATGATCTATCAATGAGTTTTAGTATATTCAATATGAAAAAACTACATATAAACTAACTGTGTTTGTTAAGAAAATTTTGATGATGGTTGAATAATATTTTTATCTGACATAGAATTTATAAAAAATAATAAAAGTATTAACATACATAAGACCTTCAAAAAGTTCCGAGACTGATTTTATTTAAAAAAAAAGATAAGCGACTTCAAATTATAAATGTATGTTTTCTTTTTTGAAGTATCGTTCTTCTACTCCAATACACTTTCGCCAAGGCTTATGGAAGCTTTTGTATAGTTGCTTTGAAGAGTTGATCCTTTAAAACTCGAAACAGGAAATAATCATTCGGTGTCAGACTTGGAGAATAATATGGATGACGAAAGAATTCATATTTCAAATCATGAGTAATAGAAAAAAAACGAGATTTGATGTATATGACAAAATATTCTCATCTTTCAAAATGACAAAAGCTGAATTTGAATTTCGCTGTTGTTTTCTAATTTCTCGATGAAGTTCTTTTATAAAAAGATATGCGTAATATACTTCAGTAATTGTTACATACAGTGATATGAGCTAATTATCCATTTATGATTCCAGAATGAAAAAACTTTGCCAGCAGACTTTTCTCTCAGTTTTATTGTTCATGGTGAATCAGTTTATTATTTCTCATACGGTCATAATGAATCCGCGGTTCATCAAAAGTTATAATTAAAAAAAAAAAAAAAGAAAGTTATTTTCTTCAGTAGAATAGCAAGTTAAAAATTCTCTACATGCTTGAACATGTTCGTCTCGTTAATCATATGTTAGTAAATGTGGCATCTATCTTAAACACGCTTTAGTCATTTGTAACTATTCATGGAATATACCATGTACGGTGCTATATGAAATATTTAGTGTTCACTATTTGTTGAATTGTGATTCGACATTTAACAGCTTTAACATTTGCTTTGTCCGTTACAGTAATTGGTCGATCGATCCTAGGATCATCATCGATGTTTAATTGTCCATTTTCAAAGCAACGAGTCCATTGAAATACCCTGGCACATGATGGAACATTGTCATCATAAACTACCACCATACGTTCATAAATATTGAATGGTGAATGACCGATCTTTAAAAAACAAGGAACTTTATTACTGAGTGGTGTTTAAGCTTTTGATTTACCATCAGTCTATTTAAATAGATCTGAAAAAAGAATCATTATTATAATACATAAAATGACCATCGTAGTTTAACTATTTTATTCTTAGGTTTTTATCGTACAATTGTATTCTTTATTGATTTACTCCAGAGCCAATGATATATCATAGGAAAAAAGAGACAAGAACTTTGTAAAGGAAAAATGATAGAACATTAAGTTTATGTATAATTGGTATTCCTAAAATTCATCTACGATATAAATCACTTAGTTGAATTGTAACAAAAAAACAAACAAATAATGGAACATCTAATATGATTGAAACAACGTTATATATTTATACAATGAAAATTATTATGGTAATGGCCAATGATTTTTATTCGCTTGTTCTATATAATCAATTAAAGCAATAACACATTCAGTAGCTCGATATTCAGGTATAGAATAATCTTTCATAAGCCATAAACGAAATTGTTCATGATCAAATTGAAATATATGAATAAATTCACGCAATAGATCTTCAGCTTTTATTATTTGTTTAGTTTGTTTTAGTTTTTTTAAAGTGCTTATTCCAATACCGGGTAATTTATGTAACATCTTATCACCTAATGGTTCAGATAAAAGTGTAGCAAATTTATGTGAACGTATATCACATGGATCGATATTTAATGGATCAATTGACATAAACAAAATGATAAATAATTTTTGAAATCAACCATTAAATTAGTGCGCGTTTCTTTATTGTTTTTCAATTATTAAAATAGTTCGAAAAATGTTATTAGAATCTCTCATCTGTATTTATTTATTTTTATTGTTCAAAAATAACGATTTGTGTTCTTAGAAAAATCATTAATCGGTAAAATTAAGTAATAATAATTCATTATCATTTGATGATTAATAAGACAATCAAACACGAACATATAACTGATGCTATTGTTTCTAATCAATGAATAATGTTTTCATTTTCTGTTATTATATTCTTTTATTCTAATCATATCATTTGTATATGGTGTTTTTTTAGTATATACATAAGTCAGATTTACACTAATGTAAGATCATTACACAAGAAATACAAGTAATTGCGACTAATCAAAAACAAGACAAGAATGTTGATGAAAATTTCTTAAATATGTGCGAACAATATCAAATGTTAATTGTTTTTTATCAATACTGGTTTTTTTCTATTAGTCGTACACCAGACAATGGATAGAGACAACCCAGTTTCCTCATCAGAAAGCTTTGAGTCCCCTACAAATGGTAAAGTTCCATTTCAAAAGGAGCTTGATTCCCCTGCCGAATTGTAGTCAAAATGTCTCCATCCATCATACAGACATGGTCTGAGAGCTGAGTCACATCTATGACTTTTTTTTAGATGTGGCACTATTTTGTGAAACACGATCTAAAAGGAGTGTTGAAGTATAGAGAGAGTAAATATTCTTGATTCGCCAATCTTTGAGATGAACTGTTCATATTCTAGCTAGAAAATCTATTCCATTTCCTTTCATCTTTGCTTTTATTCCGATAGGTCTGAATTCAATCTTTCATTTCAGAAAATTCATGTTTTTTCTTCATTTCACCTATATTATATGTTGCAAGACACAATAATTGAGTTTTTATAGTCTTGAAAAGAAAATACAAAAGAAAAAAGAAAAAAAGAAAAAATATTAGTCTTCTAAGCACATTTCCAAACAATAATGGCTGTTGTTCCACCAAAGAACATATATAAAAGTGACTTAACTTCATGTTCAATAAAATATCTAAACAAATAAATAAATAGTTTTTATTTGTTTATAAATAATTTTGTACGAACCCGAATCCTTCCCCTACAATACATTGCCAAGTTGGACCAAATTTTTTATCCTAAATAAAGTATTTCAACAACAATAAGGACCTAATGAGCCTTATTCATGAATTGCTTTATGGCTATGTACATGCATAAAAAGTAGCCATATACTAACTTATATGTTGCTAAGGACGAAACCGTTTGCTTTCATCTATCTTTCTCAATTCTCTTGCTACCATATGATAGCAAGATGATTGAGAAAGAGAGCTAACAATAAAAGGTATCATCCTTAGCAACAAATAAGCTAGTATAATAGACTCTTTTTATTCATGTGCGTGTAGTCAACAAGCAATTTATGAATAAGCCTTTTTCAAAGTCTTTTTAACTAACCATCGTTTCTTTAATCATTCTAGCAGCACTCTACGACAAAAAAGAAAATAATCAAACTGATTCAATTTAATCTATTTTTCAAATACAAACTTCATTATTTTGAGAAAATTTCTCACATGCTGTTACACATAATTCCATACATTCAGTTTTAAGTTCATCATTCATATCACATGTCTAAAAATATATACTTCTTTGTTAGTTTTAAAATACAAAAAATTTTCATGATTTTCTTACTCGAACAAGTGGATATGTATGTCGTTTACTCTCTTCTTTTTGTTGTGTTTCTGCTTCACCACCTTCAGCAGCCATTGTATCACTATAACTAAAATAATACTGTTTCAAATAACCATATTTTTCTACAATTTCATTTCTATGACAATTACCTTTAGAAAAATCCTCGGTTTTTTTCTCTCTCTGAACGACATCTAGCAATAAAATGATTTGTTATTTCTAGATGCAAATCATTTCTTCGGATTATATTCATCCATTTGAAAAAAGAAAAAAAATTATTATTATTGCAAATTTTTTCTCTTGTTGACAAACAAAGACAAAAGTTTATTTTTGTACAAAAAAACAAATGGATAATAAAACTTCGGAGTAAGTTTTATAAAAAAATAATTAAAGATTTTATTTTATAATTTTTTATTCTTATTTCTCTAGAATAAATTGGTCTGAAATCACTTATCCATTACCAACAAATTTATTTGATAAATATACTCAACAATCAATAGCTGTACCAATTGAATATTTAGGTATAAATAAACAAATTTGGTTACAATGTCGTTCATTTGCATTAAATCTATCAAAAAAAGGTTTTATTGATCCAATATCAATATTATATATATCATTTAAGCGTTATTATTCATCTAATATAAAATTTAATACATTTACACGTTGGTTATTATTAAATGAATTAAATAAAAATGATTTTCAAATAAATTCATTACGTTATCCAACATTTCAACCAGCTAATGGAATTCTTAAAACAATACAAATAAATAAACAAATTAATTTTATTAATCCATTAACTGATATTGAACAAATATGGATTCTTTTTCCAATATCAATACTTTTACCAACAAATAATTATACATTAATACCAAAAGCAATGATATTAGATAATAATGTAACACGTTTATCATTAACACATAAAAGAACAAATGCATCACGTTTACATTGTTTATTTGCATTAACACCAAGTGGAAAATATTCAAATCAATTAATTATATGTAAACCGGGACGACATTTTAAAATTAATTATACATCAACAACATTTACACGTATTATTGAAACAAATAATAGTGATATATCATATGAGCATATACAACAATGGCTTGATGATTTTATTTCATTATCATATGGAACTAAGAATAGGTAATTTGAAGATTATATTTTTTTTTTGTTTTTTTTTTCTATCGAAATTTTTAAATTATGAATATCACTATTATAATACTTAACGAATTTCAAATATATGAAAAAATGCTCGTAATTCAAAATTTCAGCCGAGTTTCTTTTTGTAATGATTGGATAGAGCTTATCGAGTTGCATAAGAAAAAGTGTGGTTTAAATAAAAATCAACATTTCACAAAAAAAAAAAACATCCAAGACACCATCATTTCCAAGTATAAGAGAAAATAGACCGATTATTCGGACTTTTGTAAAGTTTTTTTTTAAATTTCAAACATACAGTTTTTTATGCAACTTGATGAGGTCTATTTAATTATTATAAACGAACTGCTGAAATTGCGATTTGCGAATACTTTTTCATATATTTTAAATTTGTTAGTTTGATGATGAAAACTTTAATTTAACTCGAATATGCCTAACCTTATTAATTTTAACAAGACAAACATCTCCATTATCAGAACAAGAATTACAATTAAGGATTTAATGCGTTATATTTTGAGCTTTTTTAAAGATTAATTTGCTACTGTGCTTTTTTTCTTAGGTTCCGTGCTAGTCAATTTTATAAGTC